GTGCTGAGGCAATGGGGGGACTCAGGGGCAGTTGAGGGGGGCAGAAAAAGATGGGGGACTCAGGGGGATACGAGGGGGATCAACAGGCAGATAGGTGGGGCCCAGGAGATGGGGGGATCCTGGGGCAGACGGGGTCACCTCCGGGTAGATGGGGAAGAGGAACCAGGGGTAGGTGGAAGCTGCGGGATCTGCCTCCAGGGTGGGACCGTCACCCTGCCCCTCCCCTCCATGGGACCCTCGGTCACCCCTGGATGGGTGCTGGGGCCAGGTTCACCCCTGGGGGTACAACCCAGGAGGGGGGAATCCTCTGGGCAGAGCCAGGACTCACTCCTGGTCCTGGGCCAATGGCTCAACCAGCCCCCCAGCACCGTGCCTCAGTTTCCCTTTCCAAAAAAAAAAAAAAAAAAAAAAGGGATGACAGTGGGATCAGAGGACAGGGCAGTTGCCTGTCGTGACAGTGACTTCCACACGGGTACCAGGTGACCCTGGGGTGACTTTGGGCGTTTGGTCACCCTGAGGGGCCTGGGAAGCGGTGGCTGTGGGTGAGCTGGGAACAGTCGGGATGGGATAGAAATGAGTCGTTTCTCAGCCACGTGTAATTCCTCCTATTGGCTTTCACACGCTTTCTGTGAAAAGCTTAAAAATATATTTGGATTCTTATAAAAAAAGCCCATTTGGATGCAAAATATATGCTGGGAAGGGGCCAATGGGGGAGCAGGGGGGATTACCTGGGAGAAGCAGCACTGCCCTCCCAGCACTGCCAGTTTAGGAGGGGAAATCAGCCAAATTCAGCTAAAAATTGGGATGCAGCCCCTGGACGGGGAGAGCTGGGGCATGTCCTCAGCGGAGCATCCTCCCTGTCCCCTGTTTGATGGGAAACTCAGAGCAACCCTCTTCTTTGGGGGTGTGAAACATCGGGGGGAGGGGGGGGGGTCTGCCTCGGGTCCCCACCTGAGTCACTTCTCTCTAATTGCGCTGTAATTAGCAGGATCCAAATTAATAATCATTGCTGTAAAAAAAAAGTGCATTCCTATCCTCAGCCAGAAGCTGGGGCGGGGGGG